AGAGGTTGGTGTTCCCATCTGTGGGGTAGTGAGAGAAAACTCTTAAATCACGGGGTAAGTTCCCATCCCCACCACTACCTCAGCCTCTGGGAGTGACCAACACAAAGAAGTCTGCTCAGATCAGACAGCCAGGAAAAGATGAAAGAGGAGGCAATCGATAGCAGAGCTGCAGATGGGAGAAAACGGTGCAGTAACACGCGGCCGTGTGCATCTTTAAAGACTGTGATAAAAACAAGGGCACAGGCCTGGGAAAGCTGCCTCTGTTATGAATGACACCTGGTTCCCTGTGACCCAGCCCATTCCAGATCAGTCAGGCCATGCAGTCACTAAAACGACCCTCCCCGCATAACCTGAACTCAACCATCTACCTTGTGAAGTGGACATCCTGTCATCCTCCACAAGAACTGATTCAGAGCAAAAGCCCAGTTATGACTGGCCAGGGACATCTAAATGGCTAGAACCGTCCTCTGCGGAGCCTCCTGGTCACTGCTCCTCAGTAGCTCACAAGAATTCATTGTTACTCCATGTGTTTGTGTTTCAAAATCAACAGGCATTCAGTAAAGAATGCTCTTCCCCTCTCTCATTTCAGAAAAATGGACACGAATCTAGGGCTCTGATTTTTGCCCTGTACTGCAGTCAGGAACAACTGTAAAGCTCTGACAGCCAGTTCCATTGACCATGAATGCCCTTCCAAAGGGTCCACAGAGGGACCCGGGTTGGGGTGGGCCAGAGGGAACCGGCCGGCCACCCTTCACCCCACAGGATGCCCCGCCAGCACATCCACGCGGCCCGTACACAAACCCGGGGCTGGGCGGGCGGGCTCCTGCAGGGGCTGGCGGGTCCTCAGTGCCCTCCTAAGTCTCAGAGCCATCCTGGCCGGCGGCCGGCGGCGTCCCCATTTTACAGATGAGGAAATAGAGGCTCCGAGAGGCAAAAGGCCTGCGTCGCCTCCGGTAGGAGGCTCCGGAGACCCTCGGGCTCCCGGCCCTGCTTCCGCGGCCGCCGCGGCAAGAGTCGGGGCCCACAGCCCAGCGGGAGCGGCTCCCCAAGGTCGCGCCGCAAGGACGCCGGCCCGCCCCACGATTGCTCACCGGCTGCTCCCCGGGTCCGCGACTTCAGCTGGCGGGGTCGGGGCGGGGGTGGGGACCGCGTCGGGCGGGCCCGGGCGGTCAACAGCACTCGCCGCCCCCAGCCCCGCCTCGGCGGCGCCGCGGGACACGAGCCCCATTTCCGTCCGCTCCTGGCGTTGCCGCGCGACGGTCCGCCCCCAAAGGCACCCGGGCTGCCCTCCGGCCCTCGCCCGAGCGTTCCGTGCATGCAACGTTCCGGTCCCCAGAGCCGGTGGCCCGTGCGCGCAGCGCCCTTGTCTCTCCTGCGTCCTTGTCCTCCCCATGCCCTGTGCACAACGTCCTTGTCCCCCATGTCCTTGTCCCACTCGCAGCATCTTTGTTCCCCCTCCAGTCTACCCACAGTGTCCCCAACACCCCTGCCTTCCAGTTCCCCACCTTCCCACAGCCACCAAACCTCCCCCATGCCTGGTTTCTTCATCTGAGGGATCCAGTAGACCTGACATTTGAGGGTCCCAGACTTCACCTTGTCTTCACCATCCCAGGGTGAAAGGATCCCCAGGCCCTGGGTGGAGTCCCAGAAGAAGCTGCCACCCCAGCCCCAGACTGGCCCCTTTGCACCCCAGTCCCTGCAGAGGCCAAGTGAGCTACGAAGGTTGGAGGGCCAGCCCAGGGTCTGAAGCCATCTGATCTGATGGTCAGGAGGCGTCCCTGGCCCCTCCTGTTCCAGGGGACAATACCCCTAGCACCAGCAGCAACTACTAACGTTTACAGAGCACCTGCCCCACACACTTCCTTACACTGACCCACTTAATACTGCCCCACCTTTGCAGGGGCTGGGACATATGGAGGGGACCTTGTCAGGCAATGGCCTAAACCACAGACCCCTGAGACCATCCCATCACCAGCCCCCAGGGGCAGGACTAGGCACTAGCCCTTTCCCCTGAAGACCACCCACTGGAACTAGGAGCCTGGCTGGGCCCCTGACTCAGAGTAACCCCACACATCCCCTACCCCTTTCGGCCTCATTTTCCTGCTATTTTTAAGCAGCAGGAGTCTGTCCTCACAGGAAGGCTCTTCTGCACTTGACCACTGCCCGGAACTCTCCCAGCAACCCCACCCATGAGCTTGGAGCTGTTTGATCCTCATTTGCAGTGGAGAAAATGAAGGCTCAGACAGTGTCACATGGGAGAAGTGGACCAGGAGCATGGAGGCTTCCAACCCAGCCATGTGTCACCCCAGGGCACCTCCGGGGGTGCCCCTCCTCTGCTCCCCCCTTACCTCAGCTGGGCCCAGAGAAGCTTCAGGAGGCTTGGCACCTGGGGCACCTCTGAAAATGGTGGACAGTGCAGGGCCACGCCTCTGCCCAGGCTGCCCAGCCCAGCCCAGCCCAGCCCAGCCCGGCCCTGCCCGCCCAGCCACACCCTCCCTGCCTGCCTCTGTCTGATTAGGAGGCTGGGGCTGGGGCACCTGGTGGGAGATCCTGCCTGGGTAAGTGCTGGTAGCTGGCGCAACACGCTGAAGATCTCCAGGCTTCAGCTGCCAGCCCCAAAGCGCAGGCCTCTTGGGCCTTGGAGGCTGGGAGGCAGCTGATCCAGGCTGTGGACCAAGTCTGAATCCTCTCCAGGAGGAAGACAGGAGGCCAGGCCCGGGCCCGACAGCAGTGCTCAGGAGTGTCAGCAAATGTACAAGGTCAGGAAGGCATGGCCAGCAGCCCTGGAGGACCCTGCAAGCCCTGAACATTCCTCCTGTCATGGTCCAAACTCTGGGGGCTGGACCCATGCACAGTGAGGGGCTGCTCCCGTTCAAGCCCACCGGATCAGGCCAATTCCAAGTAGGACTGGTACACTTTGATGTAGCCGTCCTCTGCATCAGGGCACACCCAGGGGCCACCTCAGCCCCTCGGACACCAGGCAGATGGGCGCCCTGGCCCAGGGCAACAGGGTCACCTGGTGCCGCTGCTCGTCCACCACAATGACACTGCCTGCTGCATCGGTGCACACGCCTGCCAGGCTGCCAAAGTGGTGCCCAGTCAGGTCCCCCAGGGAGCACAGGGGCTGGCGGGCACTGCCAAACAGCCACATGTCCCTGAACTCCTCGCTCACAGCCAGGCCCCCATCGGGCCCCAGGCCCACCCAGCAGGGGCCCTCCAGGCCCAGCATGGAGGCGGGGGCCAGTGGCTCCAAGGCAGGGCCCAGTGTGAAGCTGTGCACAGCCCCGGGCACGTAGTCTGTCACCAAGAGGTGGTCAAGGGTGTCCACAGCTAGCCCCCTGGGGGCCAGGAAGGTGCCCACTGTCACCCAGCGGCCTTGAGGGGCTCGGACAGTGTGCTGAAGCACACGGACGGCCCTGTGGACCAGGTCACTGATCACCACGAGCCCAGCAGCTGTCACAGCCACGTCCTCTGGCACGAAGGCCCTGGCCCCTGGCACAAGGCAGGGCAGGTGGCAGATGGAGCGTCCCTAGAGGTCCAGCACGTGGATGCAGGGTGCAGTCCCAGCCGTCAGGAAGAGCAGGCCATCTGGGGAGCAGTGCAGGCCCCAGGGCCCCTCTGCAGCCCCTATGGGCACTGGGATCCACCCAAGCAGCCGGGGCCGCCAGGAGTGAGCGGGGTCTCCAGGCAGGTCCAGCGTGAGGCACAGTCCCTGGGACGTGGCTGACCCGCTGGTGGGGGACGCCCAGGAGGTCAGGGTAGGAGGTCAGAGAGCTGGCCGGTAGGCAGACATCACAGCCTCAGCCTCTGAGCCAGTCTTCCAACTGGGCCAAGTATGGGGCTGCAAGAGAAACGACACCCCACCATGTGCCAAGCAGTGCAACAGTCGTCCCCCTGAACACTTCCCGGCGGTGCTGGTTCCTCCTGTTTTACAGATTTGACTCTGTTCCACCAGGTCCCGACTGCCAGCCGTGCCTCTGGGCCCTATTTTCCCAGATGCGGTCCCTGAACACAATTCTGGGAGACACATGACCCAGGAGGGCTGCTGTGAGTTTTGTTCTGAGGCCGGAATGAGCTCAGGGGCATCTAGGTGTCCGAGGTGGGGGGAGGGGTGACAGATGAGCAGTGTTTCTCAAACGCCTCTGCCCATAGAACATTTTCTCCAGGCAGGGAAGGTGGCCCTTGTTGGGGGCAGCCCAAGCCCCTGCCCATTGCCCCACACAGCCCTTGGAGACTTCCAACTCCTGAGGGGTGAAGCAGGAGTCCTTTCCTAGGCCTCTCTGGCTGTGGGGAGGGGTCTCCTACCTGGGGGGCTCACGCTCTGTTGTTGGAAACCAGAGCCTGAGGGGGTGGGAGGAGCCACCTGGCAGAGGAGGGGGGAAGTGGGGAAGTGGGGCAGGGAGGCAGAGCTCTGGCTGGGCCACCTTTGAGCAGCACCCAAGGAAGCTCTAAGGAGTCCAATCACTCAGCGGCTGACCCCACCACGTACCTTCCAGTGCTGCCACATTCCTGCCTCGGGGCCTTTACTCTGGCCTCTGGGACATTCTTCACGCTGCCCCTGCACGGCTGGTTGCACTCACGGTCCTCTCAGCCCACCCTCCCTAGGGGGCCCAGGGCCTCCACCACCTGCTCTCTCAGGAGACAGCACCGCCTCCGTCCTCCAGCAGGACCGAAAGCTCAGGACCTGGGGGAAGGGGCTGTGCCCCCAACCTGCTGGCTGGGTCACTCACCAGAGTCCAGGGCAGGGGCCTCCAGGGGCTGCATCTTGCACCCCCACAGACTAGACAGGTTGGGTTTTGTCTCTCTGATCCTGTTTCTGCACCAGCCTGCCAGCAGGGTCAGGCTTATGTCTGTCCATTGGGTGATAAGAAGTCGGGGTGCGGTAGCCAGGTAGGGGTGCTAACGGGAGGCCAAGGTGGGGTGGGTCTCCCTCAGACTCAGGACCTGGGGATTCTCCAGACACTGCCTGACTCAGCCCACAGCCTCTCCAGGAAGCCCCTGGAAGGTAGGGGTCAGCAGTGTCTGTGACCCACAGCACTCCCTACCTGACTGCCTGCACCCCAGCTCTGGACACTGTGGAGGGGCGGGCGGCGATGCTATCTGCTACCGGCGCGGTTAATGGGGCGGCCGCAGGTCCTGATCCGACTGGCCCCAGCCCGGCTGGCCCAGCGTGGGGAGCCAGGCACAGGCAGGAACTGCCCTCCCTGGGGCCATTGCTGGGTGGGCGTGGAGGTGTGGCCAGCTCCCAGGAACAGAAGTGATTCGCTGGGTCCGAGGGTCCCCCAGGCACCCCTCCCTGTCTGCCCCCCACCCCCCACCCCTGCCTGTGGGAAAAGCCAAGTCTGGTCGCGCTGGGAGGGAGGCAGCAGCTCGCTGGCCTGTGAAGGCCACCGATGCCTATCGTGGCTGCAGGGGCTGGCAGGGGCCCAGCGGAGGCCACGCTGGGCGAACAGCCCTGGGCCACAGAATGTGGGGGCACTGTTGAACCACAGAGGGAGCGGCCTCTTGCATGAATCTTACATTAGGCCTGTCCTGCTAGATGGGGGCTGAAGCATGTCCAGGGGTCCCTGCCCACAGCCCATGTGCAGAAACACAGGCCTGACCAGGGCTGAGACCGTGCACACCTGCCTCCCCCCGCCCCACTCTGTCCCCCCCATAGAAAGCTCCCCACTCTCTCCCCAGACTCCGGCCCCCCAGGGAGGGCCCAGTCCACAAGAGGAGGTCTGGACACTGCCCCCCTGACGCTCAGTCTGGGGACATTTCTGCAGAAGGTGACGCTAGACCAGCGAGGGATGAAGGAGGCCCAGACGGGGTGTGAAGGTGGTTTCCATTTTAATGTCCACAACTGTGATCACTAAAGAGCCATGACCCTCTGCTGTGCTTGTGTGGCCCCAGAGATGGGTGTGGCGATGGCGGGTGGGGTCTGTCCATGGGCATGCTGGGGCAGGTGTGGGGCCAGGCAGCAGGCATGGGGTTGGAGAAGGGCCCCTGTCTGTTAAGGACAGAGATGGCAGCAGGAGCTGCAGTCAGACCTCGGCACCCGTGGGGTTCTGCAGGCCAGGGACAGCCTCAGGGGGCCAGGAGCCCCCAGGCCCACTGCAGGTGCCCCAGCTGCCAGGAAGGACAGGGTCCTCTGGGGCCTGGAGGGGAAGACCCGGGGGAGGGACACTGGAGTCAGCCTCACACTTGGTGGTGTGGCTGGACAGAGGCTGGGCTGCCAGCATGCTGGATGGCTTGGGGGTCCCCTGGACCAGCATGGGGCCCAGCTCCGGCTGCCCCCAGAGCCCTGGGGGCACTTCATGCCCCTTGGTGGGTGCCCGTTTCACAGAGAGGTCGAGGGGAGTGTCAAGTGGTCGCACGGCCCGCTCCAGTGCCTGGTGGATGGTGAGCAGCTCCCGGCGGATCTTCCCCAGCTGCTCCCGCAGAGGCCGCGGGGCCAGGCCCCCAGCAGGCGCCAACTGGCCCAGGCACTGTTCCACCCTGGCACAGTCGCCAAGGGCCCGAGTCAGGTCCTCGCCCACGTGCCCAGGGCTCCCCAGCACCAGGCCCAGCGGTTGCTGGGGCAGGGGGGCCGCAGGACCAGGGCTCTCAAGGTCACTTAGCTCCTTGTCCTCAGGCCACAGCATCACGGAGGGGCCGGTCCTCAGGCTGGGGGGCAGAAGCCAGTCAGGAGGCTGTGCTGCCCGCACAGTGCCCCACCCCCTTCACGCCCCTGTCCAGCCTGGCACCCTGGCCTAGGGCCTTGGAACCCCAGAAGGAAGGACAGGTTGGCTCTCTGGTCTCAGTCTCCCCTCTGTGGCCTGAAGCCCCTATTCCTGGTGACTGAGCTCCAGGTGGGGGCCCAGCCACCCTCCCCCCCAGCCCTCTTCCCACCTCTCCTAACACCCCCACGACTGGGGCCCCTGACACCCACCTGCTCTGGGAACTGAATTTCATCCTGCTGCAGGGGTCCTGCGGGGGTTCTGGCCTGCCTCCCAGGGCCAGCTTCCTCTTGGGGTTGCTCTGGGCAGGCCGCTCCAGCTCCCCCTCCTTCCCTGGGTCCCTGAGAGCACCACGGGGCCAGGGCCCACCCAGCCCAGGCACTGGCAACTTCAGCAGCCCAGGGACGAGAGTCTCAGGGGGCCCTTTGGTGGGGGCGGAGGGCTTGGCAAGGGCAGTCTTGCCTGCCGGTAGCCCCAGGCTGTGCTCCAGCAGCAGGGGGTAGTACAGGCGAGGGACCAGGGCCGGGCGCTCGGGGGGCTGTGGGGCAGGGAAGGCAGTGGCCGGGGGCAGTAGGGGGCTGGCGGAGGCCAGGAAGGGCACGTGGGCGGCAGCGGCCAGGGAGGGCCCCAGGTAGGAAAAGAGGCCCGGGCCGAGAGGGTAGTTGACGCCCAGCAGGGACAGGTGGAGGCTCTGGGCCTCAGGGAACTCCCCGGGGGTGGGCGGGGGGTAGCAGGGGACACTGCTCTCAGGGCCCGTGGCAGGCACGTCCACCCCGGACGTGCTCCTCAGGCCCCTACCCCTCCCCGGCTTCCACGACTCGGCCAGGAGGCCACCGAGGCTCACACCCTTCTGGGGGTCCCTGGCCTCAGGGAGCAGTGTCTCTGGGGACCCCTCGGCCCCTGGCCTGGGGCCCCCAACCCACCGGCGCAGGGAGAGGACATCGGTGACCACGTGGTCGGGCGTGGCGGGAGCGTCCAGCGCTCCTTGGGGCCGGCTGCTGGGGTCCGTGGGGTCCGAGGAGTCCGCGGGGGGGCCTGGGGTGGCTGCACGTGGCCGGGACGTGGCCGGTGCCCGGCGGCAGGCCCAGTCGGGGGAGTCCAGCAGGAGGGAGAGGGAGTCCTTACAGAGGCTGTACTTCATGTGGTTGTAGAGGTGGGACTTCTCCAGGCAGGTGAAAGGGCACTGGAAGCACTTGTAGTTGTAGGGTTTGCCCCAGGGCCGTGGGATGTAGTGTGGCTTCTTAGGCTTCCGCGCCCGGGCCCGGGCCCCGGGGCCCAGGCGGCATGAGCCTGCCTCTCCGGACATGGCAGCTGCTAACGGGCGAGCCCCGGCCCCATGGCCACCTGCGGACAGGGCCTCGGTCATTGCCAGCCGCCCTGGCCGATGCCCCCTCCCCTCCGTCACAGCTCAAGGCTAAGCATCCAGGCACCGGCACCCGCCCCGTCCCCCTCCCTGGCCTCTGCCAGCAGAAGTGGCCTCCCTGCCTCACTCTCTGTAGGGTCAGCAGACACACGGCAGAAAAAATGCAGGATGCCCAGTTAAATGGGACTCAGGTAA